GTCATGTAGTAACTGCTGGCTTTAACTGTACAAAGGTTGTTCGACACTATGAAACACATACAGACTTCATGATGTTCGGCTAATATTTTTATAGGGAATATTAATCATGAGGGTAAACGGCCCTGTACACCACGCAGCGAGGTCAGCATATCCACGATATCCTCAGCTCCATGAGTTAATACAGAGTTTCCCAGCTGACTATCTAACTGCCAACTATTCCAGAGACATGAAAATATACAGCATAAAGAAAAGTGTAAGAGACCCAGCAGCAGATTAGAATAACAGTTATAGATTTAATAAATCACCAAATGAATCCAAGAAACGAGCAAACCTGTTCCGACAATTTGAGTTTGTGTTCCCTCAGCTGCAGACTCGCTGCTGTTTAAATGTTTGAAAAGGAAGATTAGATATAAACAAACGTCAAACATAGACTCAGTCTGCCTTCACATTTGATATGAGGCCAGCACGTATAGTGGCTGTGTCCTGTTTTAAGATCATACATGTAAAATTGATGCTCTCAATTATGGAGACAGGCAAATGGTTCATGTATGTCTGATGTGTGTTTATTCCTCCCTAAATATCATCGGTGAAGTTTGCCATGCACGTCAGATTTTCCTGCGCATTTTTATACCTCTGCCAACAGAGAGAGAAAAAAATCACATTCTAACAGACAGCTGGTGCTTAGAATACAGTTGAATAACTATTAAAAAACAGATGATATTTAGATGATAGTTCAGTCTAACACGTGCCAGTGAACCATTAAACGTCTGTGAAACTATGCAGTTATGAAACATAACTTTAACCTCAGCCAAACCGATTTGCTCAGTTGTAAATAAAACAGCGAAGTAAACGTGACCCGACAGACAGAACCTGAGTGAATGAAGTCCAGCGTTTAACCACTGAGAGCTAAAACTCAGCTGAGGTTTCAAAGCTGTGTGCCGGTGATTGGACATCAGCCGCTGATGAAGCTGGTTCGCCTATAAAGTGCTCTGTAAGGAAACAAGCTCCAGCAGCTCTGCGCTCGGGGAAAACACTATATTTACTTATCTTGTGCAGAAAAATGCGCTGACATTGCTTTATATCGAGTACCGGCTGCCCAGTTAAACTGTGACTATCACCAGGTAACGTAGGCGTGTTTCTTGAATTATGCAGCAGGTGTTAAACAGCTGACGGGGAGATGATGCAGTACTGATGGAGTGATGTGGTCGTGAGAATGTCAGCTCGTTCTTTATGTTACAGAAGCACAGAGACACAAGACCAGGCGGAAAGAGACGATCGTTCGGTGAAAATGAGAATCTGCGAATGCAACATGTGGAACACGGAGAGTGGAATATGTAAACAAACCGGTTAACGTAACCCCCTGGGTGCACTCTGCATGCTAATTGTTAGCAGAGCTAGTGAAATCTCTGAAAACATCTGAGCACTTTTGCAAACATGTTCTATGTTGACAACCTGACCAGACATACGGCGCGACATTCGCGGCTAAAACACTGTTAAAAGTGTAGCTGGTGACAGAAAAACGGGGTATTTTAAAACTACACCACCACCATTGCTGCCTGTGATTTGATCTGCATTCTGGGATACCTGGCTGCCCCAAGTCTACACAAGCAATCGATTATCTAGGATCGACCTGTTTTGACTTACTTTGCACGGCAACCAATCAAATGTTAGAGAAGCTGCATGGGCAGCGTTAACCCCGCCCCCTGAGTTTGATGGGTGAGGCTGACAGATAAAATTATTTCATGATGAGAGCCAGGCGCCAGGACTGCCAAAATGAAATACATAAATAATTAATTAAATGTGTCAATAATTAATTAATTAAATGTGTCAATAATTAATTAATTAAATGTGTCAATAATTAATTAATTAAATGTGTCAATAATTAATTAAAATGTGAAATACATAAATAAATAATTAAACGTGTGAATAATTAATTAATTACATGTGCCATAACTATTTATTTAATTAATTAATTCCAATTTTAATTAATTATTGACACATTTAATTAATTATTTAATGGTGTATTTAATTAATTCATTATGGCAGTCCTGGCGTTCCATACATTGTACCTCTGCAGTTCACTTGATATCATGAGTGGTCTTCTTGCCCCATCCAAAAAAAGATAGCCTTGTCTTTGAGCTTGTTTTTGCTCTACAGATGCCCTTAACTAAGCGATTTAAGGCAACTAATAGAAGGCCCTGAAGTCAATAATCAATAGTAATCTACAAAGCAGCATTACATGTCTGAATACTTTTGGGTGTATGTTTTATCTTTATCATCCTGAACAATACTGACAGTACTGAGTAGAGTTGATCGTTAAAAAAAACAACTACTACTTTAAATAAAGAGAAACAGAGCTCAATTCTCTGTATAAATCTTCAATTTGTTTAATGCAAGCAGTTTCAGTATATCATGACAGATTTTTTCTTTAGAAGGAAAAAGGAATTATTACATTGATGTAGTCTATACATTTTGGGGGGGTTTTTATTCCTAATTTGCATAACCTACTTGTATTTTTTATTATTACTGTGCTGTATTATAATTATACAAAATAAATGCAAAGTTGCACACACTATCACACGATTTAAACATATGAAACATGATTGGGTAATCATACAGGGCGTTATTCACATAGCTTATGTTTCAGGAATTCCACAGTCAGTCAAACTGTCCATTTGATGGAGGAGCAGTGCGGTGACGAGGAGTGTGACGATTACATATCACAAATTCTTCTCCCGATTTCATAGGGTATTACTCATTAATGACACACGTTACACACATTACCCTTTCAGTGGATAAAGTTATTCCCATCATAGATGGGATTCCATCTCCTACTTAAATATGCAATCATGATGAAGTAGATGCATTTTTAAAAATATGCTTCATTATTATTGTGTGTGTTACCCAATTTAGTATCTAATTCTTGCGAAGCCATTCTTTGCACTTTACCAGAAGGTCCTCTTGGATTTTCAATGTGAACAACGTCCCTTTTTCATAGCCAATCACAGCAGACATTTCCAAAAGGAATTCCACAAGAGCATCAGGACATGTTATTGGTGGCCTGACATGAGCCATGACAGCAGCACCATACAGGATGCAGTGAGTAGACTGCTCTTGTGGATCACTCCACTATTTACCTCTGTAAATGGGAAGGGGGAGAAAAGTCTTTAACAAATGGTTCTAAGATATTGCAATTCCTTTTTAATATGATTGCATTAAAAATTGCTTACTTGTGTCATTGACAAAAACACTGGTAGGGTCAATGTTGAAGGCTGTTATGTTTGAGGCAGCATTGATTAAAACAATTCCAATGTCAGTTATGTTAGGGACCCCTGAAGATAGAAATCCAATGTTCATTTCATTGATAATTGATCCACTTCTGCAAAATGAATAAATAAAAATATTGTGTTATTTTCATAATTGTATTAATATTATTATTGTTGTTGTTATTATTGTTGCATTTGTAAATTTCCATCCGTATATAAAACAGGAATTACCTGAATAAAGTCACTGTCAGTGACCGGAATGAGTTCAATCGTTGTATATAAAACGGTTTAAGCTGCAAAAACACAAAATATTCTCTGAATACATGTGCTATATTGTTAGGTTTTGCATTTATTTATTTTCCAAAACAAACACTGAATTATAATGCAATATGTAACTTTATGCAATAATATATAATTTTATCAACTGTTCATACAATTTCCATTTCGTTGGTCACATATTGAATCCATTTCCCTTTTCATTTTACTGATAAAAGCAGACAGGACTTGTCAGAAGCACCCACATTTTTTAACATAGAAAATTAAATGTGTTTGCACATTTGTTTTTACTGTGAAGATCATGCAAATTTTTCTAATTTTCACTATCCAATCAGGTTCCAAACTATGATGGGAAATTTGCTACACTTGTATTTCAAAAGAAAATTCTAAATATTTGTAAAGAAGATGAAAAATACAAAGAAATCTATCATTATGCACATATACTGCAATACTATAATAGCTCGTGTTTTCTTTTTTTTTAATAATATGCATATGTTTGGGTATGACATTTTAAGAAAGATACTTACTGTTGTCTCTATGAGCGTACTTCGATTTCTAAATGCTGTAGATGTAGAATTCGCCAAGTCTTGTGTGAATGTTTCATTTGAGGTGAATGTAAGCTTTACTTCTGTTACTGGCTCAGCTGTTGTAATTGTTACAGGTGTAGTGGTTGTAGGAGTCGTTGTGGTTGTGTTTGTGTTTGTAGTATTCATTGTCGTTGCAGTGTTTATAGGTGTAGTTGAAGCTGTTGTAGGCACCGCAGATGTATTTGTAATAGGTGTGGTGTTTGTAACATTTGCTGTGATTGCATTTGTAACTGCAGTCATCATTGGTGTTGTAGCGCTCACAGTTGTAGTTGAAGCTACTGTTAAATGCCAAGAAAAAGAAAACAAGCCGATGCTTTAACAAAAAGTTTTAAGATATTGTGAGTTTAAAGTATAATAACATGAAATATTGCTTACCTATTTCACGGACAACCACAGAGTTTGTGGTAATGTTGAAGGCTGTTATATTTGAGGCTGAATTGATCAAAACATTTGCAATAGCAGTTGTATTCGGCACACCTGAAGATGCAAACTCAATCCTTATGTCATTGATAATTGATCCACTACTGCAAAATGAATAAGCAAAAATGTTGTTTTATTTTCATTACTGTATGACACATACTGTTAAAAATTAATCTGTATATAAAAAGGGAATTACCTGAATGAAGTCACTGTCAGTGACCGGAATGATTTAAATGTTGCGTTGTAAAAAGGTGTAAGCTGCAGAAACACAAAATAACCTCTGAATATATGTGCTATATTTTTAGGGTTTGTGCTTCTTTATTTTCCAAAACAAACATTGCATTTACGTTGCAATAAATCATTTGCCAAGTTTGTTTACAATTCATACAATTTCAGTTTCTTTGGTTACATATTGAATCTGTTTCTTTTTTAACTAAATATTTTTAATCTTTTGAAAAAACTCAACAACACAGAAATGCTAATAAAAGCATACAGGACTTGCAGGACTTTTCAAAAGCATTCAAATTTAAAACATGATCCAGTAATACAAAGTTATATGTGCATGAACATTTGTTTATACTGCTGTGATCATGTGAATAACTCCAATTGTCTCTTGCTTACTCTATGCAATCCTATAGAGGTACATGTAATGTCACACTAAAATTACTTTTTTTTTAAGTTATGTATGTATGTGCATGCATATGTTTGGGTATGAAACTTCAAAAGGATACTTACAGCTGTCTCTACAAGCGTCTTTCGTTTTATAAATGCTGTAGATGTAGAATTCGCCAAGTCTTGTGTGAAGTTTTCATTTGAGGTGAATGTCAACAATAGTCCTGTTACTGGTTCAGCTGTTGTAGTTGTTACAGGTGTGGTGGTTGTAAGAGTCGTTGTGTTTGTAGGTGCAGTCATCATTGGTGTTGCAGTGTTTACAGGTGTAGTTGAAACTGTTGTAGGCACCGCAGATGTGTTTGTTGTAGGTGTGGTGTTTGTAACATTTGCTGTGTTTGTGTTTGTAACTGTAGTCATCATTGGTGTTGTAGCGCTCACAGTTGTGTTTGAAACCACTGTAAATGCCAAAAAAAAAAAAGAAAACAAGCCTGTTTGAACAAACAGTGTTAAGATATTGTGACTTTCAAGAACAATAACATGAAATATTGCTTACTGATTACAGGTGTGGTGGTTGTAGGAGTCGTTGTGTTTGTAGGTGCAGTCATCATTGGTGTTGCAGTGTTTACAGGTGTAGTTGAAACTGTTGTAGGCACCGCAGATGTGTTTGTTGTAGGTGTGGTGTTTGTAACATTTGCTGTGTTTGTGTTTGTAACTGTAGTCATCATTGGTGTTGTAGCGCTCACAGTTGTGTTTGAAACCACTGTAAATGCCAAAAAAAAAAAAGAAAACAAGCCTGTTTGAACAAACAGTGTTAAGATATTGTGACTTTCAAGAACAATAACATGAAATATTGCTTACTGATTACAGGTGTGGTGGTTGTAGGAGTCGTTGTGTTTGTAGGTGCAGTCATCATTGGTGTTGCAGTGTTTACAGGTGTAGTTGAAACTGTTGTAGGCACCGCAGATGTGTTTGTTGTAGGTGTGGTGTTTGTAACATTTGCTGTGTTTGTGTTTGTAACTGTAGTCATCATTGGTGTTGTAGTGCTAGTAGTCGAATTTCCAGATGTTGTTGGAACTCCAGTTGTTGTGGCAGTAACTGCTGTGCTCACAAGCTTTATTACCACTGTATGCAAAAATCACAACAATAAAGGCTTTTTATAAAGCTTTCTTTTGTATTTGTATTTGTATTTTATTTTTTAATAAAGGAGTAACTTACCTATAAATGTCAATAAAGCTTTAAAGATTTGTTTGTCCCCCATTGTGGCTGGCTCTTGAACCTGTAGTATTTGACAGTACAAGTATTTACACAGCAATAAACAACAACAAAACAACAAACATATTAATGTACTTTCAAATCTATAGATATATTTATATTAGTTTTAAGCACATGTTAACCTTTTCCTTATTTAGGCTATTTGCAATTCAGTTTGCTTTTCGAAAATCAAAACTAATTTGTGCTGCTGTTTTGGACTATGTTGGTCAATGCTAAAAAGAAAGAATTAACATCACCAAAACCCTCAACTGCTATCATTAACTATAACACTACACTTATTTGCCCTGATTATGAAATCTAATCCTGTTACTGATAATTATTCACTTTTAAAATACTATTAAAGATACTGGTTATGTTTTTCTGTAGCATGACTAGAACAAAAAAAAAACTAAACAATTTCTTAAACTGCATTTCATAAAAAAGAAAAGAAAAGAAAAAATCATGAGCAAAAATAACATAAATAAATAGCAATAATCTGTTTTATAGATACAATTAGAAACACTTGCACTCCCTGTATATGGACTATATATGAAGCAATGCACTTACCCTGAGCAATGGTCTAATGTGAAAGCAGCTGCTTCGGGTGACTGCTCCCTGTTCTTGTATGATGCCACTAATTTATTCAGGTTTTATATCTGTTCCTCTGAGCTTATGACACGTCAGTGAAATATGAAACAAAAGCATTTACTTCCTGAATAACTGATTCATTGCCAATCCAGAGTTCTGTGGTTCATTCCTTTCACATGACTTAACCAGATGTCATTAGCTTAGCGGTTGAACAGGCAGGGCTGCAATTCTTCAAACTCAATCTGTTAGAGCAGGTTCTGCTCTTTGATTGTGTGATTTTCTTTTTCACACAGACGAGTGTAAACATCTATCATAAATTGAATTTTGATTTGAAATCCACTATGGGAGCAAAGCTGCAAAACTTGTTACTCCTTCCATTACATTCATGTGGTTCTGCTACGCCCACTGTCTACTGACATTCACATCAAACCTGGTCTTTTCTTTTTCTTTGTTTCCTTTGGGTTTTTCCTTCTTTGCTCCTTGTTTACTGTGCATTAGTTTTGTTTTGTTTTTTGTCTTGTAGTATTTTATTATTTCAGTGGTGGGTGTGCCATTTACTTTAAAAAGATGACGCCACATGTGGCAAACTAATGCCACGTGTGGCGATGTGGAGAATACACTTTAGATGTTCCATTTGTTTGTGAATCAAACAAATGTATATTGTGTACTCCAAACATGCCTGACATTTACCTGCATACTATTTGGTACTGCACCTCAGTTAGACACTTTTGAAGTCAAATTACAGGTCGCCTTTCACACTTTTTGAGCTGCTGGATGCCAGTGTACCTGTAACTCTATATCTCAGTCAGCTTATCATCTGTGCGAGGTCTACCTACTTATTTTCTCTGTACAGCTCTTACTATTCCTAAGAATGTCACCTGTTATGGTCCGTGGGAGTGGCAGGGTTTTTCCACTGTGTGTCATGTCTCCTCCTCTGTGCAGAGCTGTCCTTGTTCTCTCTCGTGAGCTGCACCTGGAGCTGATTAACGCAGCAGCATTTAAATCCAGCTTTGACAACTACCTTTCACCAGAACGTCAGCTAACCAGCGTTAGCATCAGGCGATTCATGTATTTTGCTATCTTTGTGCTTAGACTCACCTTGCTTTCTCTTGTCTCTAGTTTTATCCACTGACATTCTCTCCACGAGTGCACAGTTCCTTTCAACCCGGTCGCTTGACCTACCTGCCCAATCTCAGCCATAGCTCTGGTAAGGTCTCGACTTACATTCTCACCTGCCTGCCTCCCTGTTGAACTCACGGATCATCTCAGATTGGATCAATTGCACACTCACTTGCACATTCTGTCAGGGGCTGGGTCTGTGACCCACCGTTTTATGTTGTTTTTTATTTTTTGAATTTTTTTGTATTAATATAATGTCACATTCACGTACTATTCTTTTTTTTATGTTTATTTATAAGATTTTAAGACAATTACATAAAATCACACCAGACAAAGGAAGCAATGATATCTAAGCACAAAAAGAAAGACAAAAACTAAAACTAAAAAACACACACAAAAAAAACCCCAAAAAACCCAGAACAGAACAGAACAGGAAAACAATAGAATAGAATAGAATTAAAATAGAATTCAACTTTATTGTCATTGCACATGTTAAAGGTACAGGGCAATCAAATGCAGTTTGCATCCATCCAGAAGTGCTTTAGCCATGATAGAGATATATTACAATATATATTAGAGATATTACAGATATGTAAGTATATTACAGAAATGAGTCTATTATGGTATGTTATAATGTACACGGTATGAAGTATGTTATGAATATTCTATAACTATAAGTATGTACAGGCTGTAGTGAGTACAAGCTATGTACAGGCTATGACCAGGATATAAATATGAAAAAAAAACTATGCAGAATATGAAATTTTAAAAAAGAAATCTGAGATATACAGTTATACAGAAATGTGAACTATGCAGGTTATAAACAGTTGTGGGATTAAAAATTATTGTATGTAGAGAATGATTATTTACACAGAGCTATACAGTAGCAGTTAAGACAAGTGAGATATGTGGATAATTTCTACAGAGGCTATATAAAGTGCTAGTGGTTGTGAGTGGTGGTTCAGTCCATGCTATTATTTTGTGTTTGAGGGTACAGTTGTCCATTGTGGGTGTGTGTATGTTCAGTCCATGTGTTAACATGAATCAGATGTCAGGAGGCAGAGTTCAGGAGTCTGACATCTGTGGGGAAGAAGCTGTTCCGGTACCTGGTAGTCTTAGTCCGGAGGCTCCTGTGGCGCATCCCAGAGGGCAGGAGGGTGAAGAGTCCATGTGATGGGAGACTGGGGTCTTTGATGATTTTCCCAGCCCTTTTCAGACACCGCTTCCTGTAGATGTCCTTTATGGCAGGAAGTGGTGTTCCGGCAATGCTCTGGGCAGTCCACGATGAGCTCCTTAGTCTTCTCGGTGTTAAGCAGCAGGTTGTTTGTGTCGCACCACTCAAACAAGACAAGAAAATAAAAATGACAGTCCAAATCAAAAGTTCAAGAGAAATGCTAGTGTCCAAAGAAGATGATCTTTTGTGTGAGGTTATTGTCATAGTTACTCTCATACTCCTGCTCAAAATCATATTCATGTCTTTTGTCATAGTTGTCTAGCTTTTCCCAGTTTAGGTTTTAATTTTAGTTTTGCCTCTGTTCATTTTTGCCTTTTGTTTTGTATTCATGTTTCTCGGTCAAGTCAACAGTACGTTGTTTGTTAAGATTAAATTCCGTGTCTGGGACTTCCGGTTGAGCTTTGATGGACTAGGACACGAGTTTGGGAACTCCCGTCGACTTCGATTAAATTGTTATTCATTCTTGCATAATCCTAGTCCTGTTTTAGTCTGTAGTTTGTTGTGTTGAGAAGTTTTACTTGGGCCTGCGTAAAATGGCAGCAAAAATATTAAAACTCGCAGTACTATTCAAACATCACTAAGGTCTAGTTTGCAAACCGCGTCCACATCCTCGAGTGAGCCGTTGTCTCCTGTAAAGCCCCCCTTGTGCCAAGCTAATCCTGATATTGAAGCTCTCAAGGTCGAGTTGCTGGCTTCGCTGAGGAAAGATATCACCAATATTTTCTAAAAAGAACTTCAGGTTACTCTTGGTGATGCTTTGTCTACCATTAAGTCTTACCAGCAAGCGGTGAAAGCGCAGCTGGCAATCGATAAAACTGCTAATGACGCTACCGTGTCCAAGCTAAAAGGTACGGTCAGGGAGTTTGAGCACGCGGTTACTGTTTGCTCTGATAATATAGCTGAGATGAAAAACACCATGAAGGGCCTCACAGCTAACGTAGCCAAGCTGGAAAATAAATGTGAAGAGTTGGAGTCTAGGACGCAGTGTAACAATGTTAGGATAGTGGGAGTGCCGGAGGGCCCTGACACATGCACCAATGCTGCCGTAGCCTCCTTGCTAAAGGAAGCATTTGATCTGGGGAAGAAGGTACTTTTGGATCGGTCCCACAGGAACCTCCAACCCAGACCTAAGCCTGGCGACCGTCCACGAGCCATTGTATGCAGGCTTCATTACCACACTGACTGTGTTGACATTTTACGACATGCTAGAGAACGCCAACAGATTAAAGTTGGAGACCTGACCATCTCAGTCTTCCCCGACTATACTGCTATGGTAGCACGGGCTTGTGCTGCATTCAACACGGTCAGGCAGCAATTCCATGGCATTGAAGGTGTTCGGTATGGCCTGTTTCATCTAGTGCGACTTCTCATCACACATAAGGGTGTTGAGAAGGACTTTGTTTCAGCGGAGGAAGCCAGTAATTATGTCAAAACTTTGATCTCTGGGTGAGCTTCAATAGCCATTCAGTTTGGTACTGTAATGCTACTAAGGGTTTACACTCTCGTTAGGTTTAACGCTTCCTGTGCATCATTTTCTTAGGGCGTTGCGCTAGTTATTGTACTGTTGGTCTGCTGTTTCATTTTATTTTCATTGTTATATAATGAGACTAAATCCTATGTTATACTCATGTACTTCGGATCAGTCCAGCACAATATTTTCTAAGCTTACTGCATTGATTTGCACAGGACT